CTCTCTCTCTCTCTCTCTCTCTGTGTGTGTGTGTGTGTGTGTGTGTGCTCCACGTCAATTTCACCAGCACTTCATGCCAACACTGAACCCTTCACGTCATTGTCGCGTGTTCGCTCTTTCGTTTCCTCACACAGCGTCATTCGCCACTTCCCATCTCATCCTCCCGCACCATCGTCGTAGACAGGAAATGCAGGCCTACCTATGTACCGTAATCATAATACTGTTGCAACGGCTCGACAATGCAGCACACTGAAACCCTGAAGCAAGGTACATGAACGCTATCACAAACAGGGAAAAAAGAAAAAAGGAAACGGGCCGTTGTTCCCCCTCCGACCTTCAATGTCTAATGTATACAACCTGTTTGTTGGGTCAGATACAGTCTGCACGGGGCGGCACTGTCATGTGTAACAGACGAAGAGGAATTAGTCGGCGCTGAGCTCCACGCGGCGGTGAATTTGATGCCGGTCCCTGGATGGCCCGTCGGTGTGCCAATGTCGAATCCACCTGTATCGGCCCAAGGAAACAGCGTGGATACATGGAACGATTTGCATGTATCTGCGTTGTTCGCTTGGGCCGACGCGAACGGGGTGTTTAAACGTGGGGAATGCATCAGAACTCCAAATGAGTTCGGATGCATTCCCAACTAGTATGAATCACCCGGTTCGCATCAGCCCACCCACACAGTGCAGATACATGTAAATCGTTCCATGTATCCACATTGTTTCCCTGGGCCGATACGAACTGGTGGAATAGGCATTGGGAAAGCATCAGACCAGCAAAACCCTCCACATACAGTTCACAGGCATTCCGAACGAGAAAACCGGTCCGAAGCGTGGGGAACTGGAGGCGGAGATGTGCGGAATGGAGTCCGGATGGGGGGGGTGGAGACAGGCGGAGACAGGCGGAGACCGGTGGAGGCCGGCGGACGGGTAGGGAGAGTGGCGGAGGTGTGGGAAGAGGGGCGGAGGTGGGCGCACCCTCCGCCAGAAGCGTTAAGATGGAAATGGCGGAGGATGTGCCACACCTCTGCAACACACGACAAACCACCATGGATGTAGCGTACAGAGCTCTGTAGTTTGCATGTGCTGTGTGTGACTACGAGACGGGCTTCAAAAGAACCAAATGCCCCTATTCCCGCCCATCCAGTTGTTTGGCAGGCTATCTTCTTCGTCTACGATTTTCTTTAATTCGCGAACATAACAAAAAAAAAAAGGTAATTTGAGACCACCTCCGGAGGCGGTCTCAAAAAGGGTCCGCCCACGGCCCCGGAGGCCGCTGACAGAAGGGTCACCGTTTGAGGCATTTGGGTACCGAGCGTCTCCGGTGTGATCCGAAAAATGACTCAATTTTTGGGATTTGGGTCTTTTGGTCCTCGTGTGAGTATGCCTTGATTCTTTTTTTTTTTTTTTTTTTTTTTTTTTAAGGCCAGCCCAACCAATTCAATTACCTGTCAAATCTGGACAGTACACTTTAGTGACAGTCACGAGAGATAAGCGAAAGAACGTGAAACTGAAAGAAGTCAATGCAACACACGTCAGCCGATGAAAAGAGAGGGGAGGAAAAGAACTGATACACAAGGAGTCTTTGAAAAGCCCGAACGCAACTTCATTAAAGATAAACGTGAAAGAACATAGCGATTTCTCGCTTGGCGTTGACCCGACCGGTTTCGCGCGGCCGCCAAACCTCGCTCATCAGGGGTCTTAGAAGTCGTATCAAATAACTGTTCATAGACCTCCTTATATACTCAGTACAGTCGGTAACGCATATTCTAGAAGGCTGTCAAAATAGTCTGTCCTAGAAGGCTAGAGTCGGTACTACGGAGGACACTAAAAAATAAACCCTTAAAAAATACTAAAAACAACTACCGTAATACCTCTAGCCAAAGCGTCCAGGTTCATTCATAACAAAAAAGAAGCATCTCGGCCTGTGAAGGGCTTCATCAAAAACAGACCCGGTTTCGAACCCCACAGCTATCTTCAACAACTCGTCGTCGGGGTTTATCCAGAAAACTTATCAGCAAAAAACGAAAAAAAAAACCAGAAAATTTCACAAATCCCTCACCTGGTCCTAAGAGCGGACCCAACTACAGACCCCTTCATTCTGGTAAAAAAAGGTATCCAATTTCTCCAAATTCCTCCAAACTTGCGGGAAAAGCTGATCAAAGCCGTATCAAACAAATAATCATGGTACCTCCTCCTCCACAGTTCATACTTCAAAGCCATCAAAAATCTCAACTCCATCCCTTCGATCGAGGTGTAATTCCTAGCCCTGTGTAGGAACGAACCAATCATAGCCATTTTTTGTTGTCGATTTCAAAAAGACACGTAATCCTGTCAAACTTAAAAAACAAAGCCATTCTGCGAAATCGTCCTCTGATTCTTCAAAACTGGGCAGCAATTTACCCCAACGCCTCCTTGTACAATCCTCAGCTCGCATCCCAAGTAATCCCATGAACGGCCTGTGCTTGTCTGCTCGAGAACCAGATTGTCGTCGTAACAGTCTGCAAACTCCTCAATCATTCTCCTACCAGTCATTAAGGAGTTGTAATCACCTATCTTACAGCGAACAAACACCGAGACGTCATCAATTAGTCTAAAACTAGAGAACAATCCGCGATCCGCACCCAAGGAAGAAAGAAAACAAAACTCATTAAAGGCACAAAGCAAACATGCTAAAGCAGGACTAGAATATTTTCCCATGGGGATGCCGACAGTTTGCCGAAGGACAACTCCTCCCACGGAGATGAGCGTATGATCGAGTTTTAACTTCACGAAATCAAATATCGAATCAAAGAGAACGAACTTCCAACCGGTCTCAATATGGCCGGTAAGCATCTTGGCACCTTTCCCAAACTTCCGAATAGCAACACCTTTCACCTCTTTACGTTCTCATACATCAATGACCCATGCCAAAACGTCAAGAATAGAGAGCTGGGGGAGATGAGAGAACATCTCTTTAACATCGAACGAGGCACCAATCAAACGTTCATCTGGACCAATATTCGAATTAGTCTTCTTCAAGGTTACGACTAAATCGTCAGCACTCCGCAAATTCAAATTAGTGTTACGGGGTAAGTTCCAAAGTAAAGCACTTACAGTGCGCGAAACCGTCTTGCCGCCAACAACCGAGCATTCGGGGTAAGAAGGACATATGGGCCTCCATCGACCAACATCCTTGTGCTTCGGAATACAGTAGGTTTTTCCCAAAGATCCCGAGGTGTTCCAACGTCCAATCTTATCCAAACCCAGTTCATCATAGTCTTTACGAGCTCCCAAAAGAACAGATGGTTTCCCTCCCCCTTCCTTGACGAAAGCTGGATTATCCAAAGATATCTTCTCCAATCCAATCCTGAAATTCACGGGACAACAAACCAAAGTGTTTCCTCCATTATGGTCAATCGGAATACGTACCAAACCGTCCAAGCGTTCAGCGAGGTTCCCGACATCATCTTCAGTAATCGACATAGATCCTTCAATCGTGACATTATTAAAACAATACCTTAGTACATGGCTCTTCAACACATCCGTATCAACCATGAGTAGGTCGGTGTGGGAAGAGAAAGAACTTAGCAGTTGTCTTCGCAAAAGACCAACCGAATTACAAGCAGAGGGTCGAGTGGCATTACGGGAATTCTTCGCTTAGAAAGGAATGGAATGGAGATCATTCAAACGAAAAACGACGTGACCATCAACTCGAGGGAAATCAGGGTCAGAATCAACACAGGAGCAAGTAAGGGAACGAAGACAGGAGTAACTGTGAAAATTATGGATCAATTGTCCAACTGTTTTGTCCCGAGTCCAGACTACTCTCAAACGACGAACGAGTATCACTTTCCATGCAAATCCAATATCCATAAGATTAAGGATACGGGAACATAACTTCCTGACTTTAGTCTTGCATAAACACTCGTCATATCTTAGCCGAACAACCAATCGCCTTCTGACTGAGACTCCAAATCGTTTCTGAATAATAGTCGACAAAAAACACCGCAGTCGAAATCGTGAACGCTTCTCAGAAAAAGTCCTAACCGCACTATACGCGAAACTGAGCTTATCAAAATCCCCTACGTAGGTCAAGTTCCTGCTAGCCAGATTGCTCAGAAAACCTACCAAAGGTCCTTTGAAAACCAATGATCGACGTAAAAAAGAAATTAACTTCTCAACGTGAAAAATTGTCCCGCCTTTCATCTATCCTCTTGCATAGCGCTGCTCTGATCGTCCAAACTCACTCGAGACCAAACTCCCTCCATACATTCTCCGAACAACCTTCCATTTTTCTACCAACAAATCACCCCCAAACATTCAATACTAGCACGGTGTATATTCCTCCGTTTACATTCGTCCAAGATTCCCAGCAGGCTCCTAGAAGTAAACCCGATACAACAGCGAAAAAGAATCAAATCTTGATTACGTCTAGCCATACAAATCACACATTTTGACACATCACCAGATCGTCTCATCCTCCGTAGGCTTTCGCGGCGTCCTAAACGATTCTTCTTTCCTCTCTTGGGTTTATCCCTGCTATTAAGGGTGGGGCAGATCTGACGTATAATTTTTTTTTCGATATCCAACACATCCTCATCCGAGCATCGATAAATGAGAATCGCCACATAATCAGCCAAACCCCTACATTGCAACCATCGATAAAGCCGCTCATTTCGCTTTCCTTTGCTAGTCGCATGGCCATTCGAGGATCGATAAACATGTTCAGCCCAACGGGTATGCAGATCTCTAGTGGTGCTACCTACATAGATGTGTTTACACGAAGGGGAAAAAAGTACGTACACCAATGGTCCCGCAAGATCACTCAATACATCATCATCACACGCCAAGTAGCGAAAGATTAAAGCGATCAACCGTTTACCCCAAGGAATCACCCCAGAAATCAACAATAGACAGGTTGCCAGACATAACAGTCCATTTACTACTCTAGATCTCAACAACTCATTGGAATTACGAAGTTTGCACAAATAGCGGACCAAAGTCCAAAGATCAACTGCGCTCGGGAAAGCTACTAAGATACAACAACATCAGCATCGTCATCCCTTTCAACCGCTTTGGAGTCCTCAGCAGACACTTCCTACAACAGAGGTATCCTTCTCCTTACCTTTGTTTCGATCCTCTACCCCAAAAGCCTTCTCAACTCTTCTGATGGCAATCGCCTCCTTCGTAGGTTCGAGAGTAGTGTATGTGACACCTTAATCTCGACAAATTTCTTGAATCTCCTCCTTGTTCTTCCGTCGTAGGTTCTTCTTCTCCATCTGCAAGAGTCCATCACGATCATTGGCATCGTTGCCGGCGGACGCAGCTTTCTTCTTTGAGGAAGGTGGACAAGGTGTTTTATAAGTCGAAGTACCAGCGGCTTCATCCATTCGTGACTTGAGGTTGGTCCCCTTCTGCCGTTGACCCATAGCTAATCGCAACATCTCCGCCTTTAACTTCTCAACTTTCTTCTCAGCCTCGATTCTTCCGTTGACATCTTTAAGACACATCTCTTTCAGTAGATTAACTTCCATATTATGACGATCAACAATCTCCTTCAAATCAGGATTGATTCTGCTCTCGGTCCGTACGGTAGACGGTCCAGGTACACCAGTGATCTGATGAGGAGTCCCCTTCAAGCGGGATCTGGCCTGCGGTATCGGCGTCTCGATCGCGATGCTCCCTCTCTTATTTCCTGGACGCAAAGCTTCGGCCTTCCACAACTCGGCATTTGCTTCGGCACCTTCTTTACTCAAGGCCAAGTTGTTGATCCGTTCCTCCATGATAGCAAAGCGTCAATCGACAGCAGCCCTCATCTCATCTTGTTCCAGTCTTAACGCAGCCTAGCTTTGGTAAGTCCCCAAATCCGCAAGCCTAGCTTTGGTAAAGACTGGAAGAGTCCCCAAATGCGCAAGCCAGCTTTGTTCCAGCGCAACAGTTTTCTTCATGTGACACAGCATGGCGATTGTTCCAGCGCAACCGCTGACAACAGGACCAAGCAAGAGTCCCCAAATCCGCATGAATAGAAGGCATAGGAGTGACCGCCTCCTTCGCTTTGGTAAGTCTAGCAACATCTTCACGCAGCCTAGCGAGTTCTTTTGCTTTCTGATCTCTCTTATCGATTTTTTCGCAGATCTTCTCCCATTGCTTCCCCAACTCCTGATTGAGCCTCAAGTGTTGTTCCTTGCGTTTCTGCTTGTCTCTCAATCTCCTCTCCTCTTCTTCTTTCTCCTTATTTATTTGTTCAGTCTCTTGTTTCTCTGCTTGTTCTTTTGCTTCGTCAGCATCGTGCCTAGTCTTGATCTTGCCGACAATTTCTTCCAGAGTAGCCACCCGAATACGAAGCCAATACTTCTCGTTCGAGTACGAATTAGACTGATTGTTAGAAAACTGTGTCACAACTGTGCCTACTCCCGCCATGTTGCTTGGTCCTGTTGTCAGCGGTTGCGCTGGAACAATCGCCATGTTTGTATTCGCCTGTCCTCCGTTGAGTCTTTTATCTGGAAGGTGACAGAATCTTGAAATGTGACCCTGTTGTCCGCAATTGTAACATGACCTGTTATTCGTAATCCGCACGTTCGCTTGAGACGCCATTGATAATGTCGAGGCCACACGAAACGTAGTACTACTACGTTGGTTACATCGTGCGTGAAAGTACACTTTAGTGACCGTCACGAGAGATAAGCGAAAGAACGTGAAACCGAAAGAAGTCAATGCAACACACGTCAGCCGATGAAAAGAGGAGGGAGGAAAAGAACTGATACACAAGGAGTCTTTGAAAAGCCCGAACGCAACTTCATTAAAGATAAACGTGAAAGAACATAGCGATTCCTCGCTTGGCGTTGACCCGACCGGTTTTGCGCGGCCGCCAAACCGCGCTCATTAGGGGTCTTAGAAGTCGTTTCAAATAACTGTTTATAGACCTCCTTATATACTCAGTACAGTCGGTAACGCCTATTCTAGAAGGCTGTCAAAATAGTCTGTCCTAGAAGGCTAGAGTCGGTACTACSGAGGACACTAAAAAATAAACCCTTAAAAAATACTAAAAACAACTACCGTAATACCTCTAGCCAAAGCGTCCAGGTTCATTCATAACAAAAAAGAAGCATCTCGGCCTGTGAAGGGCTTCATCAAAAACAGACCCGGTTTCGAACCCCACAGCTATCTTCAACAACTCGTCGTCGGGGTTTATCCAGAAAACTTATCAGCAAAAAACGAAAAAAAAAACCAGAAAATTTCACAAATCCCTCACCTGGTCCTAAGAGCGGACCCAACTACAGACCCCTTCATTCTGGTAAAAAAAGGTATCCAATTTCTCCAAATTCCTCCAAACTTGCGGGAAAAGCTGATCAAAGCCGTATCAAACAAATAATCATGGTACCTCCTCCTCCACAGTTCATACTTCAAAGCCATCAAAAATCTCAACTCCATCCCTTCGATCGAGGTGTAATTCCTAGCCCTGTGTAGGAACGAACCAATCATAGCCATTTTTTATTGCCGATTTGAAAAAGACACGTAATCCGGTAAAACTTAAAAAACAAAGCCATCCTGCGGAATCGTCCTCTGATTCTTCAAAACTGGGCAGCAAATTACCCGAACGCCTCCTTGTACAATCCTCAACTCGCATCCCAAGTAATCCTATGAACAGCCTGTGCTTGTTTGCTCGAGAACCAGATTGTCGTTATAACAGTCTGCAAAGCCTTTTTTATTGTGTTTTTTTTTCTTCAAGGAATATCAGGGCAGTGGTGCAGAATTCGCCATTTCCGCATCCCTGGGCCGAGGTCTTATTAGCAAAGAGGATCGGATCGAATGCCTGAATGTGGACGCGTTTTATGCAGAGATGCAGGAAAACAGTTCAATCTCGATTTCCTGCACCTCTCTACAAACACGTCCAGATTCAGGTATTCAATCCGATCCTCTTTGCTAGTGGGACCACCCCCGTGGATTAAGGCCTCACTCCACTACTCACCACGTGCAGGAAACACAAAAGCTGAGGAAAAAAAAAAAGACAAATTGTGGACGTGAATAGGAATTTCGTCAAAACGAACATTTAAACTTTTTATATTTTCTGAAAAAAATTGAAATCTCAACTTTTGGCAAAAATTTCATGAAATTGAGAATACGGCGTTTTGAAAACACTCTACCTTCTCTCGACTTCGCTGAAGTCCATATACATCCACGGGGTCCGGCGTTTTCCTGCCTGGATGTATGTGGACTTCGGCCAAGTCCACTACATCCAGGGGTATGGGGTTTTCAGAACGCAGCACCCTCAATTTCATGAAATTTTGCCGAGAAATGAGATTTCAATTTAGTTCAAAAAATATATAATGTCCGTTTTTTTTTGTCTGTGTATCTTTCTATGTTCTAGCAGAAAACCCATTTTCATTTCGCACATTTGATGAGTATTGGAGCAAGGTCCTTATTTTTAATGCCTGCACCAAGGCCGGGTAATGGTCCCATTACTTTTTCCGGGTTCCGACTTGGTTGTTGAGGATTTCCTAGCCCCACATTTTCTCTAATTGGAAAAAATAATATACAATTTTCCTAGGTAAATTTACTCCAGTTTATTCCTGGGCAGCATTCAATGCCATTCATACGCACGGGGCACTCAGTCATAAATCTTTCTCCCGAGGTTGTGCCCACTCTCTCTATTTTTTTTTTCCACCACCAGTACTTCTCAAGTTCGTTGTTGCGCACGCGCTGCCAAAAAAAGTTGAGCCGAAAAGGCCTAACGATTCCCGTCCAAATCCATTCAACTCGAACCATGGCAGCCCGACGACCCCCTCTATGGGCCAAGTGCTGGTGGTTTAAAACGGCGACAACAAAAGGACGACAACCTTAGGATATCGTCAAGGGGGGCTGACCGGTCCCATAGACTTAGAAATATTGTTTCATTCATCTGGTTCAATCATGTGGATTTGAATTTGGGTCTGTATTGCATTAGTTCTTGGGTGTACAAACTGAGCTAGGCTCATTGGTTGCCCACCATCTTAGCAGGCTTCTCTCTTTTCTTTGGGGGGAGGTGACTTCGGCGCAGTCATGAAAGCAGTTTCAAATTGAGAATGCACTTCAGGCAATCCCGGGAACACAACCCACCCCCACGTGACCCCACCGGACCCGAAAAATAGGTTATATACATTCACCATCCCTGTTTTTTTTTTTTTTCTTTTTTTTTTTAATTTTAACAAAGCTATATTCTTCTCTCAATTTCATCTTTCACTATGTACCTACCACTACCCCTAAGCCTATACATGGGGGAAGTAGACGGAAGGTGCAGCTACTGGCAAAATGCTTGGTCTTTGAGTTAGCTGCTCCCCCCCTCACCGGCCGCCCAACCCCACTCCCTGACCACTGCCGATTAAGGCGGACGACAACATGCATCCCCTTAAACCACCAGTACTTTATAAAGTCGTGCCCGTTAACGCTACACGATTTGAGGAAACGTACGGGCCACTACAGGAACGCCTTAATTCATTCAACTAGAAACGTTTCTACTCTATTTTTTTTCGCGGCCTACAGCTGGGCCAAGTACTGGTGGTTTAATCTCTATATAGTTCAAATTTTCGCGGACGCCCCAAAGGAATTAATCGCCTTCCCCTTTGTCTGCCTTCTTTCAAAGGAAACGGACGATGGCCATGAGATATAATCGCGGAAGTGATGGCCCCTGGTAAATCAGAAATTTATTCACCTACTTCCCTTTGGATTAGAACGCAGGTCTGTATTTCAACAATACACAAGGTCACGTCGAGGTGAACCAACAGGCCAACTGAGCTAGGCCCGTTGGTTCCTTCTTTCACTATAATTGCCTCTTCCTATCCTTCATCCCTTCTTATTCCGGTCATATGTGTACAGCCGAAAGATCATCATTCATTGCATTCAACCATTGTTTCTATGCATAAATCTCGAAGAAACATTTCTCCTCTGCACCGGAAATAGGGAAAGATTGATATCCAACACTTCGTCATTCCATTTGTTTTATGTTTTTTCTTTTTTAATAAGTTTTATTAAATGGAAAGTCCGATTTTATTTCCAATGGAAGGAGGCCCTCCATCATTCCAGTTGACCAAATGTCAAATGATCCAAATCTCCAAACAGGTAATTTTGCAATCACCTCAAAATTTAATCTAAATCTCCTCACAGGTCTCACCCAACTGAGGAAGAGAAAAAAACTTTTTTCCTTTCAAAGGAAAGAAGAGTAAACCCTACAGATACGATCTTCACCGTAATAAGACGTGCCTTCATTATTGCTGCATCTTGACTCAAAGTTGCCCAAAATACAGGTATAATTATGACCGTACGTTGTATTCGGGTGAAGACGGTCGGCAGATCAGGATATGAGGCCCGCATTCTTTGTCCTGAATGATTTGGTCTCTGCGCGTCAGGCCCGTGCATCCAAGCACGTTAACGGCAAAACACCAGTACTTGGTGCAACTATCGGCCATGGAAAAGAAATAGAGTAGAAACGTTTCTAGTATGATGAACTTGGTCGCTTCTGTAGTGACCTATACATTTCCCAAAATCGTGGCCTGTTATTGGTGGTGTAACCATTGCGGGGGCCTTTCTTTCGCGTTTTTTTCTTGTGGAGTGTGTCAGGGGTCATGCCCAAAATTAGAAAAAAAAGTAGTTGGAGGCGGAGGACCTTACTCTCCTCTCCACAATGTCCACATGCACAGAACACAAAAAACTGTGGTCGTGTATCTTTCCATGTTCTAGCGGAAGATTCAGCTTCATTTTTGCACATTTGGAGAGTAGTGGAACTAGGCCCCAAGCATTGCCCAAACACTTGGGTTGTTTACGCCAAGGTCTCCGTAGACCTATCCTTTTTTTTTTCCCTTTTGATTTTTTTTTTTATTATTATTATTTTAATTACTATTATTTTTCTTACTGTTACTTTTTGAACAGGCCAGCATCCCTTCTGAAACACATAGTTGAAAGCTTGAAAGTTTGAAAAAAATAGTCATGAGGGTGACTTA